AGTGTCTGCTCAATGGACATAGCTGACTGGGCATGAGCACCTCCACAGGCTCCTGCTCAGGCCTCCTCACCTGAGGGCCTCTCCATCTTCCCTCCCAAATGTGTCTAAAAGTGGGAAGGTCATTGTCCCAAATCTGAGGGCCGTGTTCCCTGGGTGGGAATGGCTTTGAGGCAACGCTTTTGACTCCCTGGTGCAAATGCCACCCACCACACTGCATCAGTGAGTAATGCCGGTGGATGTTCTTTAGTTCTGGCATAGATGTCGCCTCACAGGGAGTCCCCTGTCCTCCACAGGGTGGTCTTACCACACAGAGGTGGGTAGAGCTGGGTGGACACATACACAAACAACAGGTAAAAGTCACACAGATTCTCAAACGACTTGTCCTTTACGGTCCACCAAAAGGAACAGAGTGAGTCCTCGCTTCTGCCGGGGGAACAGATGAGCAGCCATCTGAAAGGATCCTAAGGCTGATAACCTTGGTGCAGGGCTGGCCCTTGAACATGCTGTATTGAGCCAGAGATGCCAGGAAGAAGGCTTCTCACAGCATGAAGCCACTTGCACGAAATGTATTGAACAGGCAAACCACAGAGACAGAGGGGTTGCCAGGGGCTCGGGTGGTGGGATGGGAATGGCGGCTAAGTGGGTGTGGGGTTTCCTTTAGAGATGAATGAGATATTGAGGAATTAGACATTTTCAACAACATAGTGACTGCATTAGAAGTCAATGACTCCTTCACCTTCAAACAGCTAACATTATGTGACTTTCGCCTTAATAAAATAATAATAGTAGTAATAATAAAAGAGGAGTGGGCAGGCTGGAGTTGTGGCAACCCCAAGCCCTGGAAAGTCGATTATTCCATCCTGGCATTATGTAAGTGCTAAGACGGGGACAGGAGGGAGGTGGTTGGAGGCAGCTGCGCTGGCCAGGAGCACGGGGCGGAGGCTGGAAATGTTTGGGGTTTAGAGTAACAGGAAGCCTGAGCAAGGTCGTAAATCAGCATTTTCTGACTGGGCTCCTTGTAGGGCTCAGAACAGAGTGTATTAAATGTCTGGGCATGTGTGAGGCTCCTGCTGCCAGGCTGCCAGGCCCTACCACAGGGAGACTTCTCATTTGACACTGGTCTCAAACTGGAAATCCCTCCACCAGAAAAATGAGAATTCAGCATCTTAGCAAAATCAGGCCTGGAACCCTACAGTGGTCCATGGGGTACAGCGGTCTGGATAGAGGGAAGGACAGGTGTGTTTGTTATGTGGCTGAAGCTGTCAGAGGGACATTTTCTCTTCAGAGCTGATAGCAGAGCTTGGAGTCACCAGCACAAGTGAGGAACATGTGCCCAGTCCGTGCCAACTCTGAGAAGCCCGGGCATCACCCACTGCCCCTCAGACGACACGACACACTGTCAGGGTCTCTGCTTTAGCTTCCTGGGTAAGAGGTGCTGGCCTGGGGTGCCTGCTCACCTTGAAGTAGCCACGTGAAGTTCTCAGAAGCCTGCCTTCTTTTTCACAGCTCTCTGGGTGTACGCCAGCACTGGGCCTTGGGGAAGTTTCCACATTTGTCCAGTAGCAGACTGTTCCATCAGCCACTGCGTGAGGAGTTGGGAGTCACTCCTACAGACATCTGTTCAATTAAGACCAATGCTCTCCCTGTGCCTCGATGCTGGCACGTCCCAGATCTTTTTTGAGCTGTGGTTTCCTGGTCATATAACAGAACAGCAAGACCACCTTGCTGGCTGGCATGAGAATATAATTGCCTTGCAGGCCTGATCCCCAGCCCAGCTATCCCCATCCCTCTCTTGGAGCTCAGCTTCATCACCTGAGAGTCTCTCACAGAAGCACATGTCTGAGGCTGCCAGGCTTGCCTCCCAGATCCATTGACTCTTCATCACACACTTTCCCTGTCTTCTCCAGGAGAAAAGCCTAAAGTCGCTATATGTGACCCATCTACATGGTTCATACTTCCTCATCTCTAGGGCCTTCACTAGACCTGGGCTGCAATATAAAGCCACAGGCCATATGGGTGTCAGTCCCTCCCCCCACAGTCCCGAGGAAGGGACTCTTGTCTTTGGATCCAAGTCTCAGTTGAGTTTGTTATGGCTCTGAGACCTACTCTTCTCTCCCCATTCAGGCCTAGTTTGCTGACCCTTGGACATAGGAGACCTTTGGCCTGGCCAGTGTCCACTAACTGGCTGCCCCTGTGACCCAGCACTCAGGTGTCCACCTGAGAATGAGAGCAGATACCTTAAAGTCTTCAACACCGGAATATGCCCAGCATGTGTGTTGAGCGTGTACCCCCCCCCGACACTCACTCCAGGTTTATGTGGTGTACACACAGCTCTAACTAACTCAATAACTTGATGGAATGGGCAGTTAGAAAGGAAGCACAGGCAGGCTGAGTCCCTGATGACATCATGAGGCCTGAAGTACAGCAGTCAGGAGCTGCTAGGCCTGGAGACGTCTCCACACTTCAGGATGCAAAGAAAATGGGGTACTGCTCAGCATGGGTGCGTGAGCAACCGTCATTACCAAGCATGTCTCTGTGTCCCTCTGTGAAGTTCAAGGCAGAAGCTCATCCTGGCCTCCACTGGGAATGTGACCTGGGGAGCAGCAGAAGAGAAGGAATAGGCTGAGGGCCGGCTCAGCTCTCTGGAACAGTCAACAGAGGGAGAGAATCGTCTCAGAAATGAGGGCGAGCGAGGCCAAGCTCCAGACAGTAAATTAAGGCGGAGAAATGTTCAAAACTTTTTTGTAGAAGCTAACAAGGACTTGAGAACAAGGGGCAGACACTAATGAAGCTAAGAAAATCTAATATATAAGGGGGAGGGGGAGACAGAGATAGACACAGAGAGACAGACAGACAGAGACAAACACAGAAACAGACACAGAGACACAGACAGACAGACAGACAGACATAGATAGACACAGAGAGACAGACAGAGACAAACACAGAAACAGACACAGAGACACAGACAGACAGACAGACAGAGATAGACACAGAGAGCCAGATAGACAGATAGACAGAGACAAACACAGAAACAGACACAGAGACACAGACAGACAGACAGACAGGCAGGCAGACAGACAGGCAGGCAGAGAGGATTGGATGAAACTGTCCCCTTCCCATGACAGCCCCCCTGCTCTAGGGCCTCTCATGGCTGGTGGTAATTTTAATGACCTATTTTGAGGTTATTACATGAGTAAAACTGTCTAGAATAAATTATCAAATATGTAATATTATAAAGGCATCAACTCCAATTTCCATGACAATCAGAATCATCAGCACGGAGGAAGCCATAAACCAGGGAAATGTGTAGATGAAGGCCTGCCAGTGTCAGAAACAAAATAAAGTGACTGCATGGACTCACAAGCCACTCTTCAGAAAAACCTGCGAACTAGGGCTGAGCTTCAGTTCCAGAGGCAAAGGCTGGGATTTCAGAGCACAAGGCTTAAGAAGGAACCCTGAGCTTGGGCAGAAACCGGAGCTTGTGAACTGCAGAGGCTGTGGCAGATGAGTCAGGAAAAGCAGGCTCCCAGAGTGACATCTTCCTTCCTGGGCTCAAAAAAGGAGACCCTGCTACAACAGGGTGTGACCAGAGTGGACAGAGTCTCACTGATAATCAAGTCTGCATGGTTATAATGCCGGGTTTTTTGTTTTGTTATCTGTTTTTGTTTTAGCTTTAATGGTCACCTTTGTGAGGTTAAAAGGGATCGAGCCGCTCACTTATCACCATGATTTATGTGTCAAAAAGAGAATCACTGAGACTTGTTGCCCTGTGACCCCTGACACCAAGTAACAGCTACAGCAAGGGAGCATAAACTCGCCCAGCTAGATTCAGAACACCTGTGTTTGGAAGCCACAGTGGCCTGGTAGGAGGACGTTGTGCTTGGAAAATTCTTTAAGAAACAATTTGGTGTCTTTTACTATGTTTTCTTTGGGAAGATAATATTTTTAACTTCGTGTTTTGTTATGTTGCTGTTGCTATTTGTTTGTCTGAGACAGGGTCTTATCCTGTAGCTGTGTGTTCCCTGAACGTGCAATGTCTTCCAGGGTGGCCTCAAACTCTACAATCCTCTTGCCCTGGCCTCCTGAGTTCTGGGATTACTGCTATATATCACCACACCCAACTATACAACAATAATTTTGTGTGTGCACGTTTCTGTGTGCTTGTGCATGTATGTACATGTGCATATGCATTTGGGCACACAGGCAGTTGGAAGCCAGAGGTCAACATCATCTCTCATCTCTCTCTCATTCTCTCTCTCTCTCTCTCTCTCTCTCTCTCTCTCTCTCTCTCTCTCTCTCTCTCTCTCTCTCTCTCTCTCTCTCCCTCTCTCTCCCCTGCACCTGGAGTTGGCCATATCAGTGATGCTTGCCCTCTAGAGAGGTGGATCTGCCTGTCTCTGCTTCCCTAACACGCACCTGCCGTTGCACACAGCTCTTCACATTCATGCTAGGGATCAGACTCAGGACCACATGTTTGTGCAGCAAGCACTTTGCCCCACAGTAAAATGTCAACACCCACAGCCCCATGTGTCCATGGAGACACACCTGTGCAAGCAGAAGCATTTGTCGACACTCAGTGGAGGCTAATTACCATTCCTTGTGTCTCAGAAACAGAACTTTTAAATAACCCAAAAGGGAAGAAAAGCCCTTGCCTTAATCTGCAAGATCTTGCCTGGACTCCATCGCAGGCACCCATTCCATATGAATTGCAAAGTTGGGTCTAACGCATGTGTTTCATTACCAGCCCATTTCGTTGCCGTTCATATCTATTTTGGGTTTAGGTCCTTGAGGCAACAAATACTCATTTTCAGGAAACGAATGTACGAAGACGATGCCAGCTAGCAGGCAGCCTGCAAAGGGGCTGCAACAAGATTTCCCAGCAGCCAAGGACGTGCTGGCTCTGAGATGCCCAGCTGAGCCCCCCAAGAACCAAGCCTACAGGAAAGGGCCCTGCCCTAATTAGATTTCACTCGGCTTATTAGTAAATCTCATTCACCGGCTTAATGAGAAACAAAAGTTGTGTGTTAAAAGAGTCCGGAGCAATAAAACATTGACTGAATTTATACAGCAGAGGGCTTGAAATTTTCCCTCCATATCAGCAAGATTGGACTCCGTACTGGAAACAGGAATTGTTCTAAATGGCTGCAGGATGCAGCTTGTTCCAGAGACAGCACATACTGTGCAGATATTTAAAGGACTAGAAGGAGTCCAGGAGAGGTAGTAAGGGCCATGGGCCAAGTGATGCTCCCAACTCGAAATAGCTCTAACTTGGTAGAATAGACTCTTGTCATACCATTTTGTTGATGGGAAAACTGAGCCGAAAGAAGGGAAAGGACTTATCTAAGGTGATTTAGAAATTGACTGTGGCAGGGGTCTTACCTCTGAGTCAAATCCCAGACACCATGAAGAGCTGAGGGAGGATGAATTACAAAACAATCCCCAAGCTTGAGGAGACCAGAGCAGCTCCCCAGGAGTGCCAAACACCTGTGACTCAGCCTTCCTTCAGCCACCAGCTCTGGTAGTGTTTGGATTTAAACTTCAGTTAATGTCAGAGGGCAACCAGGGCACATGTGTCTCTCAAAAGAGCTCGGGGCTTGTCACCGAGGTGCTGAGTACCAGACAGAGTTCTGACGCTTAGAGGGTGCATTCCTGGCCCCGCATCTCAATGCCACGGTGTCAGAGGCACTGTGCTCAGCACAGCCAGGGTTTGCTTCTGATGGGTTTGTGGGTTTTGTTTTGGGGTGGTTTTGTTTTGCTTTGAGGGGTTCCCTATTTTTAAAATCGTAAACTATCACTCATCTCCAGGGCTCTAAGTTTCTTAGTGTTCCCATATGGAGTGCCTCACTAGGTCCAATTTTGAGAATCAGGTAAAAATCAAGCTTGGTAAGGTCCAGAGACAGCCTAGACCCCTACAGATATGATAAACATGCTTGGGAGCCTTCATCGGCCGGGACAGACCCGGCTCCTAATCACTGAGATTGATGATTGATGATTGACGATTGAGTGGAGCGAAAGGCAGGGCTGTGGCATCCAAGTTCTCTGGCTCTGGTTTGTTCTGGATGAGGAAGCCAGCCCTGGCCAAGGGAGTCAGAAATTCCACTGGACCAAGGCCTGGAGCTCCTGAGTCAAAGCCAGGGCTGTCCTGCGACATTAGGCGGCCATGGAGATCATTCTGTGACCCTCCTGGCCTCTGAGTCCACCATGGCTGTTTTCAGGCAGTGACGTCAGAGAGGAGGCAGCAGAGGTCACCCTGGGAAGGAGAGCAAGTATCAAAAAGGGCTGTGGGCGTGTGCACGCCTGCCCTCCCCTCCGTGGCCTTAGCAACCACAACAAATTTCAGAATAGAAATAATCTCTAGGCTACAAAGGTGCTGGGCCTGAGCTTTGGCTGGGGCTGGTTTCTAGGTGTGATGTCTCTCCAAGTCCCTAGAGACAGATGCCCTGGGGAGGTGCTGTGCTGTGGGTACCTCACCTCCTCAGTAGTCGGCTGAAGAGGCTGGGAATCTCTGGTGGCTTCTCCATGTCTCTCAATAAATACGAAGCTGGGATGTGAACAAAAATTGACCTAGTTAGCCAAAGGTCCCTGGTGATGGAAAAGGAGACAAGGTCATGGAGTAAGTCCCATTCTCTGCCCTCAGGACTCCCCCCCCCCATCTGTGCCACACAGATCAGAGACAATGCCCTCCGATCTAAGAGCTGCAATTCCCCACTGCTCCCACAGGGGGCACTCCCTGTCCCATGGTCCCCTCTTTTCTCTTCTTCCCTATTGTTTCCTCACCCAGTCGCAGGCTCCCAGCCCCTTCTCACCCTTTTAGCCCGCTAGCAGATCAGCTGAAATATCTGGCAACTAGAGGGGGTCTCTATTTCCAACGTGTACCCATGGTCAAGAACACTGTCTGCTCTTTCAGAGAACCTGGGTTAAGATCCCAGAACCCACAGAGTCTCACAATCACCTGCATTCCAGCCCCAGGGGATCTGAAGGCCTCTTCTGGACCTTGCAGTCATCCAGTTGCTTATGGCATTCTCTCTCTCTCACACACACACACACTTCAATAAATCTTAAATAATATAAATAAATGAATAAATAAAACCAGGAGACACCCCTGTCCACCCATGTGTGAGAATCTGCAGAGTTCTGTGCATTTCTCAGTGGGCGCAGAGGAACTTGAGTACTCTGATGACGCCGACTCTCTTCCCATCCCACCCAGCTTCTCAGCCTCACCATCTGGCCATCAACAAGAGGTCTGCCAAGCAGTGCCACCCCCAAAATGCAGTGGGGCTCCTGGCTACCCAGAGTGGAGAACCACTTTCCTCCTGGGAAGCCCATGTCCTGCTATGACCAGGTAGAAAAGCTGCTAACTGCAGAGTCCGGAGCTGGTTTAATTTTATACATTTGTTAAGACTATATCTATAAATGAAAAAAATATTTCTTTCCAACTTTTCAAAAGTTAATTCATGTGGACAAAATAAAAGAAAGATTAGGATAAGATTTCAAATATTAAATTCAAATGTAGGATTTGTGACTTTGATTTGGAAGCCTGAGAAGTTGTCTGGAATTCAGGACATTTTGGAGATGTAGATTGCAGACAGAACCAAGTCAACATCGTGAACGGCTCGATCCACTTCCCACTGCATAAAAAATGATCCCTCTTTCTCCAGTCCTTCTTCCAGGGTGGCCTTGGAACTAGCAACTTGAAGATAAAGATTCCACACTTGTGTGTGTGTACATGTTTGTGTGTTCTTGTGAGGGTGGGGTGATCACATATGTGCACACATACAAGAGTGTGAAAGGCCAGAGTCCCAAAGCCACTATCTATCTTGTATTTTGAGGTAGGGTCTCTGACTAAACCAAGCATACCATTTGGTTAGACCAGCTGACAAGTAAGCCCCAGAAATCCTCCTGTCTCTGCCTCTCCCTTGATGGAATTTCAGGTATGCACTGTCACATCTGACTTTTAACATGGGTACTGGAGAGCTGAACTCAGGTCCTCATGCTTGTGTGGTGATTACCAGCTGAGCCATCTCCCCAGCCCAAGAATCAACATACTATAAAAGAGAGCCACAAGATGCCTGGGAAAGAGGGAGAAGGAGAGAGAGGGAGAGAGAGAGAGAGAGAGAGAGAGAGAGAGAGAGAGAGAGAGAGAGAGAGAGAGAGAGAGAGAGAGAGAGAGAGAAGGAGGAAAGAGGGGAGTTTGAGAGAAGCAAAGATGTTCTCAGAGGACCAACTGGAAAAAGGGAAGCTCTTTGGTGGCGTAGGATTGCCCCAGGGCTCTGTTCTGAGAAGTACCATTTGGGCCACATCCATGTCACTTTTCCATCCTAGTGTGGTTAGAATTCTTGAGGAAAAATTCTGAAATGAAGTCTGAGCAATCCTCCCTATCCCCAAATGTGTCTCAGAATCCCAGGACCAAAACATCCACACAATGAAAAGAACATAGCAAGGGGTAGTGTTAATGCCAAAGATCCCGCTTCTTGGTTCTATGTGCCATGGACCTTCAGTTTGGAAAATATTCCAAGACATGCCAGCAAATCATAGCCTTTAGTGTAAATCTGGCCCAGTACTTGATTTTATAAATAAAGTTTTATTGAAGCATAATCATGTTCTTCCTATAAAGTTCACAAGGCACTTTCTGTCCTGGAAGCAGGAAGATGACCCAGGCAGGTTCTCCCTGCCATCAGCCCCAGTGGCCTGGGCAGCCAGCCCAGCGGGATGACGCACTCTGGGGCCTGAGCTGAGCTGGCTGGGGGCAGGACATGTCAGCCTGGGCCTCCCTCTCTGGGAGCATGTTCCCACAGAGATGCTGGCAGCCCAGCCAGAATGATGGGCTGGAGAGAGTGAAAAGGAAAGTCTGCAATATGTCCTATGTTCCCACTGCCTCAGGGTCACTAGAGCTGAAGCCAATGGTCAGACTGTAGCCACAGGCATTCAATCTGTCATGAGAGCCCAGGAAGAGGCCTAGCTGAGACACTGCTCTCCATCCCCATTGTGACCCAATGAGACTTAACCTGGAAGCACTCTTGGCTCCGAATGGCACAATGAAGCCAGCAGAGAGCCCTGGGACACAGTGTGCTGGGCTGGCCAGGGGCCACCTCGGGGACCAAGGTCATTGAGGCCTAAGCTTGGCAGGAGAGTGGCCAGGAGCCAGCCTGGAGCCATGCCCTCCCTGACAGCTTTACAGCCCTGATTCAGCCCTGTAAAGTTGCCAGGGCAATGACATCACGGGCCTCCCTTGCATGACATGTCACTGTGGTGGGCGTGGCTGCATGCTCTGGAACCCGGAGCCAGGAGGTCCCCTGTTTCAGCTGTGGCAGGTGTGGCCAGCACTCAGGCTGGGATCCAGGGCTGTCTAGAGCCAGGTCTTCCCATGTGGAGCCCTGCCCAGCCCCTGGACTGGTCCCTTGTCATAAAGGGCATTCTGGGCACCGTCATATGTGGGTACCAGCTTAAATGCAACCATACCTAGGATAAAACAAGTGACCCTGATTGGATAATGTCAGCGCTCACCATGCCTGAGGAGCTCTGCCATCTGGCAGGGCAATCCTATGAGGGGTCACCTGAGATTCTGTTTCAGGCTGTGTGGCCTCGAACACATAGGACATAGTCCAAGCTCCTGCATAGGACCCTGCCCTCAGCTAACACTACACTGGGCCTATTGCAGCCCAAGAGGAAGCCATCCACTCACATCACACCCAGCCCAGCCTTGACTCTCGGCCACCTGCTTCCAGCCGAGCCTCAGGAGATTCCCAAACATACTAGAACATAGAAACCAACTTTGATGCCCATTATTTTGTGTTCCTGTACATGTGCAGGTGCCGTGCACATGTATATACACTGTGGAGGGCAGAGATTGACTTTGGGTCTTGTTTCTCAGGTACTATGGGCACTGATCTTTTGAAATGAGGTCTCATCATTAGCCTGGAGATCATGGATTTGGTTAGGCTGGCTAGGGAATCCCAGGGAGTCCCAGGGAGCCCCTATCTGTACCTCCTCTGTACTGAGATCGCAAGTGTTTCCTATGTGGCTTCCCAGTGTTATAGGTTCTTGATCACAGGTGGCATTTTGGCCATGTTACCCCGCTGTGTGTCCTAAGCACCCCTTCTTAGCACTTCCCTTAGATTGGATCAAGGCTCTTCCCAAGAACCTTCTGTTAACTCTCCCACCTCTTTGAAGACACTGCCTGTGGGTAAGATATACCATGAGGTCTTAGAGAGTGAGACTTCAGTACATGGCTTCATGGGGGACAAAAGCCCCCTGGTGTACAGGGCTTGTTTGAGGCCTTCCCAGGGCTGGAACTCTCTAGGAGACCAGGAAGACAAGGCTGTCCCAGGTATCAACAGACCCTCCAAGTCAAGTTCCTTTGACTCTATGTCTGACACCCTCTCCCTTCTCGACTCTGCAAGGGTTAATGCAAAGCTCCAGTGCCGGGTGGATTTACTGCCCCCCAAGCTCTATCCAGTGCCCTGGCTGGAGGCTCCCATTTCTCCCTTAATCACTTGCCCTGCAATCAGAAGAGATAGCCAGGCCTGTGTTAGGCGGCTGCAGCTGCGCACTATTTATTTACTTTTGCTCAGCCCGGGGAACGGCTGCAATTTAAAGGTTCAGGTCTCAGCTACCCTGCCCAATGCAAACCCGCTTAAACACTTCCATATTGCTCCAGTGAGCTGTCACTAGAAGCTGCCCCTGCTCCCACACCCTCTCCCTGGATAGGGAGCTGAGAAAGCAGGTGTTCCAGCTCACCGGGCTGGCCGGACAAAGGGAGAGTCAGTCATCCTTCAAACCCAAGCCCTGGAAGAGCAAAGCAGAAGACCTTCAGGCCATGAGCAGCAGAGAGGAACTCACCAGGAAGGGGCCAGGTCACCCCCAACTACTCACCCAAATGGAAAACCCATCTTCTCTGTTGCTAGCCCAGCTTGCCCTAATTCCTGTGCCAAATGGTGTAATTACCACTTGAGTTGTCAAATGGCCTCCAGACGGCCTTACCGTTCACATCAGAGATTTAATAAGCTTTTAGGCGTTGACCCCTGCCGCCGGCCCCCACCTGCACACCCTATTGGTGAAACCTGAGCACACAATTAGATCTGATAATGAGAGTCGGGCGCTCAGCCTTGAACTCTGCAGCCGCCTTCAGAGGTGCCCAGAGAGTAACCCCATGCCCTGACAAATGGCATGCACCCACCACAGAGGCCTCATGCGTGGCCTCAGGAGGACACCTGGGAGCTCACACGGAAGGAGTTTTAAGGCCTGAGAATTCTAGAGGCCAGAGCTTTGCAAGCCTGAGCAGTTTGGTTACAGACACGGGTTCTAGTCAGTTCCACCTGGTTATAAGCATTTCTTTTAGTCACCTTGTCAACACAAATAGCAAATAGTGGCAGCCAGTATGTTGACAGGCCCACCCCGCTGTGTCATGAACTGCCAGCTCCATGGTAAAGTCTTCCTAGATACCCATGGCAGCCAGTAGTCCTGTTTCATTGTCCTGTTTGAAAAATTAAATTATTCTATCCTGGGATGGGAATTACCACTGCCAGGATGTACATGCTCATCCAATAGAATAACACAAGTCCCATCTCTAGCCCAATTTGCACATTGAGAAAACATATTACAGAGAGGTTAAGCAATTTTCCCAAGACCACACAGATGGAGAGCATCGGAGATGAGACTTGAAGTTAGGTCAGGCATCAAAACAAACGTCACAGCCAGGATCCCATCTGGATAAAATATATTTTGACTTAAAGTGTGTTGATGCAAAGGTAGGCTGCATGTCGTGTGTATTAAAACAAAGTTTATGGTTCATGTGAGGACCTGGAGATGTGGAGTTTTACAGAAATACTCCCCATGTTGGTCTTTGCGCTCAGACATACCAACAGAGATGGGCAGGTATGAAAAAGTAGACCAGAGGCTTCTGCGCTAGGGTGAGGGGAGCCACCAGTAAGGGAAGACGGGGTTCCTGGCCAGGGTGTGAAGTGTGTGTGTGGAATCTCACCTCTGGTGCTTGCCAGGAAGTATTCTGCTTGCACAGCCACAGAGGCCAAGGCCATCTGGAGACTCCATCGGGGAATGTGTGTCTTCAGACCCTTCCCTCTTGGTGTCTCTTTTCCTAGGAGTCAGTCCTCCATCCTCACAGGGGCGCTGGGTTTCGTGACTGTTATGATTGTGTCACCATTCCTACCAAGTCAAATGACTGATACGTGGGAAGAGGTGATCATACCTTGTGTTGTGATGTTAAGGTCACAAGGGGACCGTGGGTGACCCAACTCAAACAGGCTGCAGGCAGTGTGGCAGTTTTGACAGAACAGTGGTGTGGGGAGTGGCAGCTTTCAAACATAACACAAGATACAAGGCAATGCCCTGTGGAGGTCCCAGCTGAGCCATCACCCAGGCAGGCAGGCAAGGGAGGGTGGGTTCATGGTCTCAGCTCTGCAGGGCGTAGGAGTGATTCTGCTGACCCCTCTGAGAGAAAGTCTTAAGAAAGGCTTGAGGTTGGGCAAGTCTAATTAATCTATACGTGAGGTGGAACTCCTGGTGACAACCCTGGGATGCCAGTGGCACCTATATTCAAAGACCCACAATGAGTCAATTTCACCTCTGAACCTCCAGACATACTCATGCACACACCAAGGGCAGCCTGTCTTGCACCAGGGCTCTGCTGCCACGCACGAGTCCCCATGGCCTGAGACCATCAACAGACCCATGCCCCCATGCCCAGACACTATCTGCTCCACCTGCCCCTAACCCCTGTTCATTTGGAGGTCCAAGATGCCCTACCCCCATCCTAGTGTGGTCCACAGCATCCCCGACTTTACAGGGTTGGAGATAACTCAGGTCCACCTTAGACATAGCAGGCACAGTTCTGGTACTGACTGGTGGCTAAGAATGCCTGTCCATTCATGGGTGTCCACCTTCATCCTCCACTTTGCACACAACCTGAAGAGCCCTGTGAAGTGTGATGATCTGAGTAATTGTACCCATGTCACAGACAGAGAAACTGAGGGTCAGGGATGCCCAGCACCATGGCCAGGATCTCACATAGAGGAAGAGCCCCAGTTCAGAGGGCTCAAAAGTATCACATTCCCAGGGGCAGGCAGAGAGCAGAGGGTGGACTGCCTTCCCAGTACCAATGTCTGTCTCCAAGTTGGGGTGTAACCAAGCAGCAGAGTGCCCAGTACTAGAAGCCCTGGGTTCACTCCATATCACACAAAACAGAAAATCTCCATGAGGCCATGGTGTGCATGTAAAAGAATGTGTACACATGGGCATGTGCATACCATGAAATGGATTTGGGACTGGAGAGATGGCTCAGTGGTTAAAGGCGCCGCCTTTTCCTGCAGAGAATGCAAGTTCGATTCCTAACACACACACATAGTGACTCACAAACCCCAGTCCCAGGGACTCCAACATACTCACTGGCCTCTGCAGGCACCAGGCACACATGGTCCACATACACACAGGCAAAATACCCATACACATAAAATAAAAACAAATAAGTACCAAAAATAAAAGATCCACATGTGTGCTCATGTGTGTGTCCCAGAAACAAGAGCCCAATCATCTCAGGAAGACAGTGTGAAGCCACTGGACCAGGCTGCCCTATTTCAAGTTTTACTATGACCCTACTTTGGGAAAACATAAGCCAATAAACATAAAGTCAGCACTGAGCCTGTGACTTCTGGCTTTAGCCAACAGCACTCCCAGAGTGAAGGGGAGTTTGAGGGTTCTCTATGGCTAAGTACAAAGCCCATAAAAGACAAGGACTCTAGAACTAGAAAGAGACTTTCAGAAATGGGGGGAGGGAGGGGGGAGGGCAGGAAAAGCCAGTGGGCCCATCCCTCCCTGTTTGAGGACTTGCTGGAGTCTGCCAGAGATGAGGCACCATGCATGTCTCTCCTGCAGAATGCTGACTGCAGAGCTCAGGTGGGTCAGACCCCACAGAGTCCTTCAGGCCAGGCCTTATCACTTTCTGCAGGGAGGTCCGTGCCTACTGGGCTCTCCCCACACCTTCTCCTATCTCTTAGCTATAAACGGGAACAGTACTCCCAGTACCAGCCAAACGTCCTCCCATATTCCTAGGTACCCAAGTCCCACATCCAAGGGCTCCAAAGCTTGAAGTACTGAGTCACTCTGTTCCATTAAGCATAGTGGATCAGGAAGGCTCCCTCTGCTGACTAACTCATCTGACCTCATTTCCTGTGGGAAACTGCAACACCTCCTTCCACATCCAGGGAAGCTGAGGTTCAAGGAACCTGAGAGGCAGCTGGGGGTGGATCTTTTGGGTGCTTTCTCCACAGCCTGATGCCAACTCAGGGGACAGTTTCAGAGGAGCCATGCGTTCCTCTAATGTGTCTTGACTGTTGTAAAATCTCCTCATGAGAAGTGTGCATGAAGTGACCCAGCCCACTCACTGACTTACAGCACCCTGAGAAGACTTGAGCCTCTGGTTCCAATGTCCTCTGCTCCCAGAACCAAGGATTCGTTTTCCATCTGAGAGTTCCTGACATCAGGCAACAACATAGATTGGGCTCTAGTGTTGACAGTATTGACCATGTTACCATGGAAACGATGCTGACAATGCTCATTGAAGCTGCTATAGACTGTGGCCCCATTGCCTCAGGGCGGTCTTCCCGGATTTTTAGGGTTCTCAGAATATGACCTTAGCTTACCGCTACAGACAATAAGAATTTAGCCTCTCCTGCACCCAATTTAGACCTGGAAGTATACTCTGGAATTTCTTCCAGCCACTGCTTCAAGGAGATGATGTTGGACCTGGTCAACAGAAAATGACGAAAGTTCTGAGAGGCCCCAAGAGATGGAGCAGAGGATGGCTCAGCAGGTAAAAGCTCTTGCCACTGAATCTGACAACCTGAGTTTGATTCCCAGAACTTACATGATGGAAAAAGAGAAATGGCTCTCACAAATTGTCATGAACACAAACACACACACACACACACACACACACACACACACACACACACACACACACACTTTTTAAGAGACAGAAGGAGCAACAGAGAGCATTGCTGTGAAGCTAAAGATGGCCTAATTTCCAGAGTCTAACCCAAGCTCCCATAGCCTTAGGATCAGAGCGCTTTGATGCAAATCATGATCTAATGTGTGACTTTAAAGCCAGGGACCTGAGACCCTGTGTCTCAGGTTCTAGGAGTAAAGTTGCAATCATTCCCCACATTCCTCCCACTCCAACCTGATGGAAGTTTCTTTGGAAGTTGGTACTGAGGATGAATGAGGGTGTTCCACCTGCACAGCGCCCCTGCAGGCCACGTAGTGCACTGCACCCCATGCCCCCTCCTAGCTGGGAATCACCCTCAGCCAACACAAAGAATGGGAGGAAACCGGACACACAGACACACACACACACACACACACACACACACACACACACACACACACACGGTCACACATTGCTATCTAAGGGGCAGCCCCCACGGGCAGAGGGCCAGGGCCAGGGGCAGAGAGAAGTGGTAGCTGGAGCTGGGCCATGGTGCTGAGAGGCCTGGGAAACACCCCCTCCCCCAGCTGGCGGGGCCATCATAGTCAGAATCTGCAAGCTCATCACCGCTGGCTTGGAAACCTCACCAGAGACAGAGTACAGGACACGTCCTGCTGGGCAGAGATAAGAGAGAACCCCAGGTTCTCACCACTCGGCTGCCCCTGGGGAGCAGAGAGCTGACCCTGGCTTGGCGAACTGTGAGGAAGATGCCCAAAAAAAACACACAGAGAAGTGCTGCCCACCCCTTCACCCTTCACCCACTTTGGGAGAGGACTTCTTGGGAAGATGAGGGGCATCTGTGACCACATGGGACAGACTGTCTACTCACCTGGCTACTGAGCTCAACCCTGATCTACCTCTCTGGGTGGGGTGGGCCTGGGCAAGTGGTTGTGCCCCTGGTTCCCTACCTGAAAAGTGGTGCTGCAGATGGAGAGTTCAAGATTCACACAGGGCCTTGCTTCAAGAGTCACAG